CTACTATATATGTACTGTATATATCAAAAATAAATTTGACTTTGCATCACAGTCTATCTAAATGCCCTGAAATTGGACTCTGTCTCTTAAGTACCTACTACCATTTCTGGCACTCCCACTTCAGCACATTTTCACAGCAATGCTTCTGGGGAAAAAAGTCACTGATGATGACGAAAAAAAGGATGCTCTGCGGGCGGGAGCTCGGCTGCAGGCTGAACTCCAGGGAGGAGCTTTGTGTAAATACGTGGTGTTTAGTATGAATAAGTGTATTTGGACATCTGAATGGCTACCACAGGAGATTCAAGGATTTCTCATACATGAATGAGACAAACAACACTCTGGACAAACAGTATTTTTGATGAGGGCAAAACATTATTTATATTTGTATAACACACCCCTCCCTTTAAATGAATAATAATAATAATAATAATAATAATAATAATAAAGTATTTTATTAGTTCCTTTATTTATTCTCTGCATTTTTACCCATCACACGTGTGGAGCAGAGGGCTGCCATAAGGTGCCCGGGGAGCAGCTGGAGGGTTAAGGGCCCACAGTGGGTCAAATAAGGGCAGGCACATCTCTAACCTCCACTCCTTCCTAAAAATCAGGCTGAAATAAATCTGATTCTGACACAAAAAAGGCCTTTTCTGATGCTATCTGACAAAGGCTCTAAAACTCACCATATCTTTCGTCTCAGAGTCCGAGGGGCTGGATTCTGAAGGAGACTTCTCTTTTTCACTTGGTTCTCCATAAAACAGGGATGTCAGGCTGCGAGGGAACACATGAAACACATGAAATAAATTTTAAAAACGAGGCCTCATTAGTACAGGAGAGCAGTAGAACGGTGCTGTGTTTCTGCCAGGAGGACATGAAATCTGTGCAGGAGAATCTGATGAAGGCAGGGGCTCTGACAGTTCAGCAGCATGTCAAATTAAGCAGCATAATTCAATTACTGTGGAGAGAGGAGCRCACAGATGCTGCCCTCGGTCAGGCAGAACTAATCCACGTCTGAGGGAAAAGGAGACGAGTTGTACGGACTCATATCACGACTCTAAAGATTTTCCAAACACTGAAACCATTTAAGCTTGACTGCATTTGATACGCCCACAGTTTACTGTGACACAATCTCCCTTTTCAATCAGCAGAGGGAGCTGCTGCATCAAGAGCACGGCTCCACGGGGATGACTCCATCTTTGAGCACAGAGTTGTAGCTCACAGGCTGGTGAGAACATCCCATTCTTTTCTGATTAAAACCTGGGAGAGAAGGACTCGCCTGTCGTTCTCCATCAGCAGCGCCAGGCGGCCGTAGTCCCACGCAGCCTTCCTCAGACACGAAAAGACGAGCAGCAAGAACTGGAACATAAACAAAACACAATCTCAGAGCATTTTACACAATCAGCCGCATAGCATATATTTACTTGGATTTTCTTTTTTTAACCTGTTTCTAAAACTCCCCAAAAACAGCTGAAGAAGAACTGATTTTAATTTTTTTTAAACACAGCAGCAAACAATAAGCCATCCCGTTTCTCCATACGTGGTTGTCTTGGAAACTATCAGAGACAGGTCAGCTTGCACATGTGAAGACACGCCGTGCAGTAATGTCAAACCGGAGAGAGGTCGAGTGTAAAAATAAATCTGAAAAGCTTTGGTTTGCCAACAAAACGGGTAGAGAGCTGAGGTACCCTGAGCCGAACAACCTCAGTGATCTGAATGCAAATGAGTGTAAAAAAAAGTGTTAATTTTAATGGCTGCGTTTCATCATTAGCTCGTATGAGCTGGTGACAGATGTGCTAATGAAAGAAAGCTCCTCGAAATGTTAAATGATTCATCTTTAAAGTGGTGAAGACACAGCTCGGGATGAGTAACATTTTGGCTCCTTGGTGTTTTCTTGGTATTATTTTTTTTAAGCGTGCCGGTGCTCTCCTGCAGCCCCATGCTGCTTTTTTTATTTATTCAGTGCGATGATGGGTTTCTGGTGGAGGCGTGCTGCCCTGGAGGGAAGCACGCTTTGACTCCCGCTCGTCATCAGGAGACGGTGGCTGAAAAAGCCCCTCCGCGTTGGCTTGACAACCCGGCCGTCCCGAAACGGGCCAATTAAAAAGATGGAGGTGGCAGGTCGAGAGTGACATGAGAGCGCAGATCAGGGCTGACGAGGCCTGACGGAGGAGAGGAGAGCGGCTGACAGCTGGAGGCAGAAGCCCGTTATTATCTGGAACGTGTCCACAGAAACAGAGCGATCTGTGTTTGTAAACACTGCGTCCTCAGAAGCACGTTCAACTTGACATTTGTGACATGAACATAATGTGTTTGCATTTTGTTTTTGGATTATAATTAGGGAACCAAGAACCCAAATCATAATGAGACGTTAAAAACCCCTCAAAGTTAATGTCTTAGTTTAAAGTGGGCATATTATGGGGGTCTTAGCACAAGTTAGGATCCATCTGTAGGCTATACAAAACATGTTCATTTGATTTAATTCACAAAATGAATCTCAAATAATGAAATTTCACTTTCAGTTCTTCCTGTTCTTCAGCTCTCTCCAGAACGTGCTGTATACAGAAGTTGCTATGGAAACCCCCTCCCCTATCCCCCCTATCCGTTTGTTTACTTTAGCTCCGCCCACCGACATGGTRTAAGTTTCCAAAGTGAAATTATTTTCACAAACTACAGCTTTCTTTGACAATTTTCTCAGAACATTGTCATCAAAGATAAAAAAAAATTAATCCAGGCATCTCTGTTCTCCATGGCTGCTGTAAAAACAGAACAACTATCGAAATACCATGTTTCCAGATACCTAAAAATACATGTAATTACAGCTAAAAAAACGGCTGGGTGCATTTTTTTGGTGTTTGGACTGCTTCTCTAAGCAGTAGAGACCCAAAAATAAGTTTAAAAACATGAAAAAAGTGAGTTTTGCATAACAGGCCCACTTTAAAATGTGAGCTTGGAGAAAGTCATTTAAATTCAAATTCTCAGCCTTCCCTGAGGGAACTCATAGCACCCGTCATCATTCATTCCAAATGTCCTGATGCATCTCAGTAATCCAGATAAAAAAATCAAAAAGAAAAAAATTGTATAGGTCTTCTGGACGGGTTCTTCTCTAATGAAACATTTCGTCTCTCCTCCAAGAGACTTCTTCAGTCTGAGAGTTTCAGGCAAAATTCAGGCTTTTAAGCCCAGCCTCCATGTGACTGATACTCACATCACATGGCTATCGTTGACACCTAATTAACACTTATTGTTAATCGGGGGTGGAGTGATACTGGCAATAGCCGTGCTGTAGGAGGGGAACAACTAAAAATGGAGGCCTCCACCTCTGTTTAATGATGGACGGTCTTTCTTCACAAAAATGGCTTCTTTTACTCCTCTCTCAAACCAACGTTCCTCTCTATCAAGAATGAGAACATCCTCATCTCTGAAAGAGTGACCGCTGGCCTGTGAATGAGTGAAAACTGCAGAGTTCTGGCCATTAGATGTAGCTCGTCTGTGTTGGGACATTCTTTTGAACAGTGATTGCTTTGTTTCCCCGATGTATAACTGGTCGCAGTCCTCCTGGCACTTAACAGCATATACAACATTGCTCTGTTTGTGCCGGGGCACCAGATCTTTGGGGTGAACCAGCCTTTGCCGTAATGTGTTTTGGGGTTTGAAAGCTACTGGGACATCATGTTTAGAAAATAAATGTCTCAGTTTCTCCGAAACACCCGCAACATACGGAATAACCACTGGTTTGGGTCTGGGTTTGGGGTCTTCATTTTCACCTGAAGGTTGCATGGAGTCCTGTCTGTGTTTCCTGTCTGCTTTCAGGAAAGCCCAGTCAGGATAACCACACTGCTCCAGGGCCTGTCGTGTGTGTGATTTCTCTTTCTGCCTGGCTCCTGGGTTTGTAGGGACACTGTCTGCTCTGTGGTACAGAGTCCTGATCACTCCTAACTTGTGTTCCAGTGGGTGGTGTTTTTTTTTTTTCATTCCAAACTTTTACACTTGATTTGAGTTACTGCTTTTTTGGTCAAACYCCACGCAGTATCTCAAATAATCTGTCAGTACTCAGAGTACGTGATGAGGGTGACTCTCAGCTACTACCACAACAAATTTTAGCACCATGTCTGGAAACAGACTCAGTTATAGGCCATGTTAGTGTTTGTTCAGGCTGAGTCTTTTACTTTGGCGTCAGGCGTAAAATATATAAATCATAAAAAACTAGTGGTGTCCTAGCCTGGCCATTGCCTTCCTACGCAGTTCTGCTTGTTCTAATCTCCCTTCTCTGCTCCGTCTGGGATTTCTCCCATAGACGARGATTTCTCAGGTAGAATTTCAACCGGGCCAATCAGCGAACAGGAGGAGGAGTCGTGAACGATGACATCAATTTTCTGCGCTGCTTTAGTTTTACTGCCTGTAGTTTAGCAATGGCAGCGGAGGAAGTGAACAAAGCCCATCAGTCTGTGTTGACAAGGCTTCCAGATTAAATTAAATTAGTCTCACWCAGCCTGCAGCACTCATTTACAGCCATCTTGTTCAGCTTGGTGCTTCTCTCTTCCCAGTAGGAGATGGTTGTTTACAGTGCACACAAYTTCTGGTTAGCTTCTTAGTCTAGCTTCCTTCGTGGTCGAGCTAGCGCACTACATAAGTCACGGCCAAATGTTAGTGATTGGATAAAATTAAWCCAAATTGTTTTAAACATCAGCAGTGTTCCCGCCKCCGGCAAGAAATCGTTTCTCAAAAGCCGAGAGTCCAGAYCCTCTATACGAAGCAAAGCGAAGAACATGGGGCTGGTTTTTACCAGGCTAGAGGTGTCCCGATACCRGTATTTTTCATATTTTTACAAGTACTCATAYTTGTACAAAATGTTCYGATACATAAAATACCAAGTTTGAAACTTCATTATATGTGTTACAGTTTACAAGTGAAAAGTTTATCAGTTCCATGTTTATACAAGCTGAAAGAAAATCTTATTTATTTATTTTAAAATGTTGCAACAGTATATATTATTTGATTTGATCCAGTCAGAGGGGCTGTAGGAGAGCCACTTTGTTCTAAATTAAAAAAAATCTGTTTTTAAAGCCACCATGTAATGTTGAAGTACTTGGTATTGGCGAGTATCCAAACTGAAGTACTTGTACTCTGAGAAAAACTGGTATCACCC